GAAATAGAGCTCTTTAAAATGTCGGTACTTCCTAGTTCTCCCAGTTCCTGAGATGGTCGCAGTTCTGTGAAGTGGCTGTTCTGTGAGTTGCCGTTGGAGTCGGGCTGGAGAGTTTGCAGCTCCAGTCGTTTGGGAGAACAGAAGTCCAGCCATGATAAGGCTCTTCCGAGTTTGGGATTATAACATCTTCCACCTCTGAGTGGAACTTCTGAAGAACCCCACTCATGTGAAGTCCACCCGTTGAGGTGAACTGTTGTTGACGAAGTCCCGTCACCACTCCGGATATATCTCTGCCATCCTACGGAGACGCTGAAAGGTAGCGTTAACTGGAGCTCCTCTTCCGCTGATTCATCGTCAGAGAGGTAAATGAGCCTAGTCCACTACTGAGCGTACCGAGGAAAGCTGGGTCGGATGGAGGGTGTCGTCCTGTCAACACTTTTCACTCATACATGCCACATTCTCCCTCATCCATCTTTCACTCCCACTAAACTTCATCTGTCCATCTTTAAAAATTCTTCTATCAAGTAGAAATCATTGACAGATATTTTTAGAAATGTCTGAAGCAAAGTTCTCAATCACCGCCGTGTGATTTGATGTCTGCTGTTCTGCTGAAAAGTGAAAACAATCGCCGTATTACCTGTAAAGCTGATTAATTATGTTGTTATTTTCATATTTTGCCAAATTAATGTAAATGTTTGATGTTAAACTTTGATTCTGTAAATAAATGACCACATTCATTTTGATGGGTCAAAGATAAATAACGTCTCACGTTACATTTTATTAAATTCAATGCACGTTTATATTCAGTCCAGAAAAATTAAAGAATCCGTTTTAATTGATGAATATATCTCAGCATCTGTTCATCTACACACATGCACACGTTTGTATTATTAAACCTTTTATGAGTTTTATTCAAAAGACGACACAATTAACATGAAGTAAAACTATGTTTTCGAGGCACGTTATTCATAAACGTAGTTTTTAATCATATTTTGACATTTCAAAAGCTATAGCATTGTAAAAAAAAAAAAAAAATTAAGTCAAGTCATCTTTATTTATAAAGCACATTTAAAACAGCAGCTGTTTCTAAAGTGCTTAACAATTAAAATCAGTGGGAGTAATTTCATGGAAAAAAAATAAAAGTAAAAATAATTAATTAAAAGCATCAAAAGGAAAACGCACAAATGAAATGGAGACCTGACTGACCCCAACATGTTGTGTTACAGTAGTCCAGTCAGGATGTAATTCATTCATTCATTCAATCTTTATTTATACAGGTACGTCTCATTGAGGCTCAAGGACTCATTTACAAGAGAGACCTGTAATAAAGTAAGGAAGGAAGAAACTTTACTGAGAACAGTTAATTTTTTTTATTAAACTTAAAGTCAGAATCTAGAACCATCCTGAGTTTTGTAACAGACTGCTTAAGATATGATTGAAGAGAGTCGAGGTGTACAGGATCAGAGACAGCGCTAGAGCTAAACACAATGACTTCAGACTTCTGATCATTAAAACTTCAAGAAATTTGAAGCCATCCATGCCTTGATGTCATCGAGACATTTTAACAGAGCGTGAATGGAACAAGAACCATTAGCTTTTAATGGCAGATAAATTTGACAGTCATCAGCATAACAGTGAAGTGAACGACCGTGTTTCCTCAGGATAGAGTGAAAACAAAAGCGGTCCAAGACTTACACAGTTGCACAAATCCCTCTTCAGGTGCTCGTAGGGTTTTACAACGTACAGCCATTAAAAGACAGCAGCAAACATCCTCGTCACGTTTGTTTTTCAGCTCATCCTTGGTGGAGCTGGAGAAGGGGATCAAAGGCTTTGTGGTGATGTCATCGGGCATGGAGGAGACCTTCAACTGCATGTACGACGCTCGGGTGCCACCGCTGTGGGAGAAGGTGCAAACACACACAGAGCGTCCACAACATCTGAAGTTTGGTCCTAAACTTCCATCCATCCGTTATCTAAACCGCTTCTTCCTTTTCGGGTCGAGGGGTCACTGGCGCCCATGTCCAGCAAGCACTGTGCGAGACCTGGACAGGTCTCCAGTCCATCACAGGGACACAGAGACAAACAACCATTCACTCTCTCACTCACACCTAGAGACAGTTTACAGTCACCGATCAGCGCAACGTATGTTTTTAGACTGTGGGAGGAAACCGGAGAAAACCCACGCATGCACGGAGAGAACATGCAAACTCCACTCAGAAAGGTCCTCGGCTGGGATTTGATCCGGCGACCTTCTCGCTGAGAGGCAGCAGCTCTACCAGTTGCACCACCGTGCTGCCGTGGTCCTAAACTTAAAAAGATAAAAATACTACTTTTTTTAAAATATTTCTCAGAACTCATGGTTTTTGCTGCCGTTTCTGTGCACGTCGTCTGTTAGCAAAATATGTCGTGAAGTTCAGGACGAATTTGATAAAAACCTTCGAATAACTCCGAGTGAACCTCGTTCAAAATGGCTGCCAAAAAGTAAGCAGCAGACACAAACTAGAACACTCTTAAGATCAGTATGGTGAGACGCACACACACACACACACACACACACACACACACACACACACGATGGCTGCATTCCAGCTGTGAACCGTCCATTCTGGCTTCATTACATCTGGTCTTCTCTTTACAGTGGAGAAAAAACGCAGGGGGCTGTCAGCTCGGGTCAAAGGGCTTTAACTGATTCTGGATGTAAATGAAAGTGTGTGTGTGTGTGTGTGTCCACTGTGCAGAGGTCAGAGAAGGTCATGTTTATATTCAAACGTGCTTCTAATTTTAATGGCGGAGCACAAAAGCTCAGGGCTTGCATTTTTGTGTTTGTGATGGTCCGCCGGGTGAAGCGTACCTCGGCCCCCCGAGGACGGACAAAGCCGCTGTGTGCGGACTAATCGTAGTGTAATAACCAAAGTAAACCTTCCAAGGCCTGCTCCATTTTCCTAATAAGACCCTGAGCTCATTGTGTTCCAGCCAGCAGCTTATTACCTCTCAGTCTACCGTGTGTGTATCACTTTCCTTTTATAGGAGTATTGGGTGGCCATTAAGGCTGCTGCTTCCAGCGGAGTCCCTATGTTCTACTGACCGCTTGTACACTACACAACTCCATGCGTTTGTTTGTTTCTGCCTTTTATCTGTCTCTGTTAATTTGCTCCTTTTCCTGATGTACCTGTTGTTCTCGTCACCTCCTTCACTGTTCCCTTGACGTCTGCCCCTCGTTTCTGTTCATCCCTCTCCTTCTCCTCCCTGACCCTCCTTGGCACGGCAGCCTGTCATTAGTTCTGTGCTCAGACTCATGGCTTTAATTTTGGCCGCCTGACTCTCCCTCTCCGTCCATTTTCTCTGCGGTCTGCCTCTCAGCACGCTCGTGTTTTTTTTTTTTTTTTCTGCACAAGGCTTGTGAGTGGAAACGATACGAAACTAATCAATAGCTTGCGTGTTGTCAACTAAATGTTATGCAAACACTTTGGTTTTCCAATCCTTCATCTTGCAAAAACGTAGCTTGTGTTAAATCAGAATTGAAACAAACGAGAAATTGCATTTCTTGCGAAAATACAGTGTGGATGCTTATTACAGAAGAACTTGCTGAGAAACAGCTGAAATTAACAAAAAACATCATGCTGAATTGTAGCTGAAATGGAAAAACAAGCCTTAATTAGCAGGAGAAAGCAGAAAGAACACATTTTTGCTGAATGAGGTATAAATTAGAAGAAATGAGCACAAAAATTAGGAAATTAGCTCCAAAAGAAAAGCTAAAATTAGCACAAAAAAAAAGCTAAAACGTAGCTGAAAAGGCAGAAAAAAGCTTTAACTACGAGAAGGAAGTTGAAAGAGCTGAAATTAGCTAAAAAAATGTGGAATTGCCTGAAAAGGCTAATGTTAGCCCCAAAACAGCTAAATAGTAGCTGAAATAGAAAAAGCTGAAACTAGCAGAGAAAAGCTGGAAAGAGCACAAGCTGAAATTAGCCTAGAGAAAGTAATTAGGCTGAAAGTATCAGAAATTACCATGAAAAACTTGAATTTATCTGAAAACAGCTGAAATTAGCTAAAAATGCTAAAGATGTAGTTGAAAAGGTAGAACGAGCTTAAATTAACAGAAGAAGAAAGAACACATTTGCCCAATTAACTGAAATAAGCAGAAAAAATAAAAATGATCTGAAAAAATATGAAATTAGCAACAACAACAACAAAACCCAGCTGAAAAGTAGCTTAAAAAGCAGAAAGAAGCTTAAATTACCAGAAGGAAGTAGAGAGAGCACATTTTTGCTGAATTGGGCTGAAAAAGGTGCAAAAAATGTGGAATTAGCTGAAAAAGCAAAAATTTACATAAAACAGCTAAAAAGTAGCTGAAATAGCAGAAAAAACTGAAACGGGCAGAAATAAGCTGAAAACAGCTGAAATTAGCAGAAAGAAATTAAAAGAAGCACAAAGTGTTGTAGTAAGTAAAAAGAAAATAAAATGTGCACAAAACAGCTGACATTTGCTGAAAGTAGCAGAAAAAAGTTAAAATTTGCAGCAGGAAGCTGAAAGAAGCTGAACCAGAACAAAATATGAAAGGCGCAGTAAAAGGTTGTAAACGCATCTAAAGATTTGAAGGATGTAAAATGAGTTTAATTCATTTTTTATGAGGAAAAAAAATTAGGCAGAAACGGCTAAATATTTCAAAAAGCTAAAGTTGCACCAATACCAAAAGTCATAGCAGGATTGTCCTGAAACAGCTGAACGTTTCTGATACATTTGTTGAAACAGCTTGAAAACTGCGGGACAAGAAAGACGCCGAAAACGTACAGAAGAACAATGGATCACAATAGAGTGACTGCTTCATGAACATTCACACAACAAATTGTTTATTTTGAAATAGACAGTTTGTCAACAAGGATCAATATAAGCATTTTCTGCTTCATGAAAATGTGAGTAACAAATCTGCTATTTTAGTCTAGATTAATTAATTGATTTATTATTTGCCAAGAGTCCATTTGAAGTATAGCTATTGTCAAAATGTGTTTTACAAAGATTTACTTAGTTCTGAACTTTCTTTTTCTTTTTTAAAAGTAGCTTTATAATCATCTAAACGCTACGCCCCGCAGTTTCTCTGAGGTAAAATGTACCACGATCCGGTGTGGTTGGACCTAAGTGCAAACACGGGGACCACGAAGTAAAACAAAAAACGGATTTTATTAAGTAAACAACTTTTTTTGGGGGGGGGGGCAACGACTTCCAAAAATAATGCAGTCGAAAACACAAGAAGATTTAGAATAAAGTAGACACCATTTTCTGTATTCTGGTGTATTTTAACAGGTTGTACTTGATTCAATAACTTATTTTAGAGCGCAACAAGAAATAGCCTGACCAACAGCTCCCCTTGTGTGAATAGAGCACGCTCTGCTT